GCTTCCAGCTCTATCCATTTACCTGTGAATTTAATAATTTTATTTTTCTTAAGATCTGATTATTATTCATATATATATATTATATCACATTTTTTGTCATCTATCTGTTGATGGACATCTATACTGTTTATATTTCATGACTTGTGAATAGAGCATCAATAAATATAGATGAACAAGTATCTTTATGGTAGGATATGGAGTTCTTTTGGCATGTGGTAAAAGAGCTGGATAGTGGATTCATTTTTAGCTTTTTGAGGAACCTGCACACTGACTTTCATAGTGGATACATGGGTTTGCAGTAATGCCAGCAGTGAATAAGTTTTCCTCTTTCCACCCATCCACACTTGCACTTGTCATCATTTTATTTATTTTTATTTTTTATTTTTGAGTAAGGGAAAGGAAACACTTTAAACAAAAATTTTTATTTACTATTTTTTTTTCTTATTTTACACATCGATCCCAGTTCTCTCTCCTTCACATCCTCCCATGCCCCCCACAGATGCCCCTATCCCATCCCTCATTTTCTCCCCAGGGAGGGTGAGGCCTTCCATGAAGGATCATCAAAGTCTGTTAAATCATTTGGGGTAGGGCCTAGGGAAAGAAACAAATTTATTTATGTATGTACGTATGTATTTATTTGTTTGTTTGTTTGTTTTTAGAGGCAGAGTTTCTCTGTATTGCTTTGGAGCCTGTCCTGAAACTTGCTCTGAAGACCAGGCTGCCCTCAAACACACAGAGATCTGCCTGCTTCTGCCTCCCGAGTGTTGGTATTAAAGGCATGTGCCACCAATGCCCAAGGGAAAGAAACATTTTTTTTGAAAAAAAAATTTTAACTTAGCCATTCTGACTTGGGTAAGATGAAATCTCAAAGTAGTTTCAATTTTAGTTTCTCTGATGTCTAAGGATGTTGAACATTTTAAAAAAGTGTTTCTCAGTTACTGTATTTCATGTTTTGAGAAGTCTCTTTTACATTCTATGTACCATTATATATTAGTTTTTGTATTTTCTTGTTTTTTATTTTTGAGTTCTTTATATATTCAAGATACTAACATTTCATCAGATGTATATAGCTAGTCATTTTTTTTTTCATTTTGTGCATTGCTACTTCACTGAGTGATGGTACACTTTGATATATAGAAACTTATTATTTTTCTGGGGTACATTTGTAAATTTGTGGATCTTGATGCCTGTGCTATTGGGGTCTTGTTTAGGAAGTCCTTTCCTGTGCCCATGAGTTCAGGCACATTCCCTATTTTCTCTTCTGTCAGGTCAAGACATCCGAATCTCTTTATTTGGCCTATCTAGTTCTTTTTTAAGACAATCTGTTTATTAGTTAAAATTTGGTTTTGAAAATAACCTCTGTCACTCTTTGGGGTTTGTCTGTGGTTTAAGTCTAATAGTGTTGCTTTTATGCAATTAGGCAGCTACTTTTGGTGCATGTAAGTTTAGGATTGTTACATCCTATTCTTGGGCTTTTTCATCAATGAGAAGATAAAGTGTTCCTCTCATCTAATTTGTTTTGGTTTGAAGTCTGTTTTGTCAAGTGTTAGAATACTACGGTACTAACTTCTTGGTTCATTTGCTTTTAATACCTATAGTGGTCTGTATCACTAATCATGAGGAGTGTATCTTGAGGGCAGCAACAAGATGGATTTTCTGATTCTCTGATCCAATCTGTTAGTCTGTGGGTCTTTATTGGGAAGTTGAGTACATACATTAAGTTACTGTTTAAAAACGTGTATTAATTTCTGACATTTTGTTGCTGTTGTGATCTTCTATTAGATTTCTTTTGATTAAGTTTCCTGAAATTGTTTACTGTTCCTTGGATTTTCTTGGGAGTGTTTAAACTTCTCTTCAGAATTAAATATTTCTTTCAGTATCTTTTGTAGAGCTGGCTAATAAAAAATTAGCTTTCTCCTCCAATTATGACTTAAGTCTTTGTTGGAGATAGTAGTCTAGAATGATACCTTTGCTTCTAAAAAGTCACAGAACATTGGTACCAAAACCTTCTGGATTTTATGGTCTCCATTACAAAATCTGCTGTAATTCTGATGGGTCTCCTTTGTGTGTGAGTTGATCTTTTTCTCTTACTGCTTTCATTATCCTTATTTTTTTTTGCTATGTATATTTGATGTTTTGACTATTATGTGCTATATGTAGTTTCTTTTCTGCTTCCCTCTGTTTGTTATTATCCATGTCTCTTGGATCTTGATAAGCATCTCCTTTCATATATTAGGGAAGTTGTCTTCTTGTGTAGTTTTGTTGAAAATATTTTCTGGGCCTTTGGCTGTGTCTCTTCTTTTTATACCTATTATTCTTAGGTTTTTCTTAGAGGTGCATGTGTTCCTCTACTTTAGATTGGACATTTACTTTGATTGTGTGAACAGTTTATTCTATTTTGTCTTAAAGAATTGTCATTCTCTCACCCACTTGGTGATATCAATTGGTAAGGCTTTATTCTGATTTTTTTTGTCTGAATTCTGGATTTTTTTTATTTGAATTCTTTAATTTTCCATTTCAAGTTTTATTTCATTTTGGCTTCCTCAAGAAATTCTGTATCTTTATTATGTTCTGTTTTCATATCTTCAATTGTTTTCTTTATTTCATCCAACTGCTAGTGTTTTTCTGATATTCATTATAGCATCTACTCATATCTTCTTTAAGTTCTTTATTAATGTTTTTATTTTTATTTTAACACCAATGTCTTGTACATTAAGTCAGTTTTCTTAATTTTTGATAGAGACTTATCACTTGGTGTATTCATATTTGTATATTTGCTATAGGATCTAGGCATTTGGAATTATATTGTTAGTACTGTTTCTTGGTATGGAAACCTTGCATCTCTATTGTCGAATGAGTGCTTTAAGCTCTGTTTCCTATTACTCTAACTTGTTAGGTGGGCAGCCATTTGTGTGGGGCTTAGTTGAGTCTTTGGGCAATTCAGTCTAAATGTTGAAATGGGTAACAGAAATAATTTTGTCTCTGCTTAAGCTAAGTGCATTTTATAAGGTCAGAAGTAAATTTTCTATAGAGTTTTTTTTTTCTGTAGAGATTTTTACATTTAATCTTCAGGACCTTGGTCAAGAAGTTTTGGACTTTTCCTCAGACTATGGGTACTATTGCTGGTGTGGGTCTAGTATCTCTCTCTGGAGATAAAGGTCCTCAGATTGTATGGATGGCTATTATTTATAGGTGGGTAGTAATGCATTAACCAGACCTGGTAGAATAATTGATGGTGTTTTATTGGGGGAAAGAGCTTACACAGAAAACAAATGACTGACTGTCAGGGCGTTTCTTCTCCAAGGATGCAGATCCTGCCTCCCAAATGCTTTCTGTGACCAGAAGAGGTCCCTGATTTCGGATCCTCTTCTTTTATCTGGTCACATCCACATCTACAATACCCAAGAGGCATAGCCATGGTTACAGGTGCTCAGGCAAATGTATTGGTAGCATATGTTTAGTGTCTATCTACAGAAGGGGCCAAGTGTGTGAAATGTGATGATGGAGTTGGTAGAGGATGGATGGTTGCTGTGATGGTAGAACTTTTGTCTATATGCCTTGGAATGGAGGGAACAAGGGTGTTTTCAGGAGTGGATAGAGTTACCAGTGTGTGTTGGACTTCCCTACTTGATGTGGGTGTGGAGAAAGAGGAGTAGGAAAGCAGGCACATCAGAAATGTTTCTTAGGCAGGTCTAATGGGTGGGGGGGCATAGAATTGCTGGTGTGGATCTGAAGAGGGGCTATCTTTAGGTGGAGGGAGTGTGTAGATGGCAGCACCAGTCTTGTGTCTTTCTAGAGAAGGGACCAGATGTGCCTAGTGGACATGAGTGGTTTGGCCAGAGTGGTCAGAGTTGAGTTGGAAGCAGGGTATATAGGATCCCTGGGTAGGAATGCATGTAGGAATGTGTGACAGGTGTGAATGGCATTGGTGGCTGCTGAGGTTACATCTTTATACCTGAAGAAGATGTGCCAAAGTGGTGTAGGAACAATTTTTTGATGTTTGGTTAAGCTCCTAGCACTAGTTATAGTGAAATTTTAATGATTTAAACTGATTTTCAACATTAAAATATTTTGTACCCATTTTTAGGGATCATAAAGTCTCTGGTTGTCACTGAGGGTCATAACATGGTATTACTATATTTAGCTTTTTATAAATTTCTACAGAAATACATATAAATATTAATAAGCTTGTTTAGTCATTTTTAAATAAAAATTTTAAATTAATTTTTAAAGTGATGAGTTTCATTATGACATTTTCACATATATATGTCATTATGTATCTTTTTAAAATGCATATGTCATTAGGATATTTTAAGGAAATTGAACCAGGCTTTTCTTTTTTTGCCTCCTTCTCTACCTCTTCTTCCTTCTGCTGTTTCTGTTCTAAAACAGCATTACATCTAACAGAAGAAAAATAATGTTTCCACTTTTTTATGGCAGATTAACATTTAAATTAAACATCAGCAATTCATTTATTAATTTTTTAAATAAAATACATGAAAAAGGAACTTCGGATGTGCTTATAAAAATTTCTTATTTCACTTAACTTGGTTAAGGTTGGCTTGTATGCCTCTTATTTTTTTTCACTAAAGATTAGTTTATTTGTTAGGTATATAGTGTTCTGTTTGCATGTGTCCCTGCAGGCCAGAAGAGGCCACCAGATCTCATAACAGATGGTTGTGAGCCACCATGTGGTTGCTGGGAATTGAACTCAGGATCTTTGGAAGACCAGCCTGTGTTCTTAACCACTGAGTCATCTCTGCAGCCCTGCTTGTATGCCTCTTAAGAAATATAGTGGGGGATATACATTCAGTATAAATACATTCCTATAAACTGGTATTCTCAATATGAATATTTTAGATTTATTTATGTGTATGTGTATGCTCATGTGTAGATATGCATGCTTCAAATATATTTTTTTTATTTAGCCACAGAATGTCTCAGAGATATAAGATTATATAATTTAATTTGTGTTTTTTCCCATTAAACTGTCAAATCAGGATGGAGAGCCTGTTCGCCCAGGAGTGGCCATGACTGACCTTGCCACTGGCCTGTTTGCCTATGGAGCCATTATGGCTGGACTCATACAACGTTACCGAACTGGAAAAGGACTATTTATTGATTGTAATCTGCTGTCATCTCAGGTACCAATTCAAATAACATTTATTTAATATAATAATGTATTTGTGGTACACCTCTCTTGATAGAATCCTATGGTCACATGCCATTAAAATTAAAATAGCAAACAACACCCCCCATAAACTGCTTTTTGGTATATTTGTTTTACTATTAAAATAAATGTAAAATCATTTAAAAATCACGACAATTTTGTTACAATTTAAACACTGTTGTTGAATTAGAATTCCTGTGTTTTCTTGTACTAGAATGGTTTTAGTTCTCCTTGTGAGACCACAGTATAGTTTCCTCTATTTCATTGTCATGCGAGCTCTGTAACTTCATTTGGTGCTATTTCTTCACCTTTTATGTGCCATGGACTCTCTTGTTAGTCTGATGAAGTATATGGACCTTATCTTGGCATCATACTTTTGAGTTCATAAGATGAGATAATTTAATTACATATGAAGCTATATTCCAAGTCTTCTTTTTACTCTTCATTTTGAGATGGTCTTACTAAGTTGACTGACCTTGAACTCAAAGTCCAGGGAGACTTTGATCATCTTTGGACATCTTTCTGCTTTATCCTCTGGTGATACAATAGTGATTGCAACACCATTAAAAATTTGATGTTAAGAAGAAATGATATTTCAAGAACTATGCAATAGATAATATGATATGAAATGAAAATGATATGAAAGGATGTATAAAATTATCAGTGATCAAGTCATAGATATTGCTAATACTCTGGTGGATTTATTGCTTGTTTTCCTAATTGTTCAGGTCAGAGGTTGATGAAAATAAAGATATCCTTTTTTACACCCATGCTATTTAACTCCTAGAACTCTGTTCATAGACTATCTTCTTTAGTTTAGACAGTTACATTTACAGTGTAGCAAGCACAGGACTGTGAAATAGAAGGGTTAATTCACTTTTAACATGACATTTTGCCTCCTTTACTGGATCAGACCCAGATGCTGTACCATATGTGGACGTTGATTCTGAATAGATAATTTTTCAGGGATAGAAAAAAGAAAATATCTAATTTGTGCAAGGAGACATTTTACTGTGGGAAAATTACTTTCTAGACATAGAGATCTCAGTTGGGAATTTCAGATTTAAGTGGCATACATGGGAAAATAGTAAACTTGGAACACTACATTGGAGATTTTTTTCTCTTAGACAAAATTAAGGAGGTATATTGAAATAAAAAAGTCAGTATGGTTGATGGTAAAAGAGTGTATATGAGTTTTTAACAGCAATGTTGAATCACTGTCTGAATTTTAATGGTTTTCTAAAAGGAAAAAAAAACCCCAAAAAAACAAAACCTCTTCAAATGAGTTATCTTGTGTCTCCAAGAAAGCCTTGGTGGTAGTTATGGGAAGACACTAAAAGTCTTTGCTTGTGTTAATAGCTGTAATTAGCCTGAAGAAAGTTAAGTAACCACATAAAACTTATATATCCAGCAAATGTGGAAGACATGAAAGTTTCATAGGTGTGTGATATGTGTAATCTTATAGGGCTCTGAGCATCATAGATCATGCTGTCTGTGTCTTCAATGCTTAACAGTTCTGAACATAAGATTTCTTTTATTTTTCATTTTTCATCAAGCCTCCCAAATAATGTAGTCAGTTTTGTCTATACTAACTTCTTTATATTCAATTATTAAAGAATACATTAGCTTTGAAAACAATTATCTATTATTGTATAGATAATAGAGGCTAAAAAAATTCTTTGAGCACTGAATTGGTGATTCCCCATGTGGAATATATTCCCACCTGTAAGACTGCTTTATAATGTGTAAATTCATGCCCACATACACACATATATTTGTAGATGGAAGTTTCTGTCCCACCCCATCCTTCAGCCTTTCAGTCCCAAATAAACACATAGAGGCTTATATTAATTATAAACCGTTTGGTTTATTGCTCAGGCTTATTACTAACAAGCTCTTACAACTTAAATTAACCCATAATTATTCTCTTTGTTTATCGACATTGCTTGGTACCTATTCTCAGTAAGGCATTCTCATCTTGCCTCCTCTGAGTCTGGCTGGTGACTGCATCTTTGCCTTTCCTCTTCCCAGAATTCTCCTCATCTGGTAGCCTTGCATATACTTTCCTCCTGGCTATTGGCCAGTCAGCATTTTATTAAATCAATATGAGTGACAAATCTTTACAGTGAAGAAGAGTATTATTCAACATCATTTCCCCTTTTTTTCTTTTCAAAACAATAACCCTGAATCTAATTGACTCTGTTTAACTTTTTTCCTGACCATATTAACTTGTAACCAACGTGTTAAACAAAGACAAATATCCATAATCCATTTTGGGGGAATGTGGGTATAGTTTTCTAGGCTAGTTCCTGCTGAACAGGGTTCCTGGAAATCTTACAGTGACCCAAATAAAATTTAGGATTATGTTCAAGTCCTGACTGGAGTATTCTGTGATGTTGGATCATTTCAACCAGCAGCCTTGAAGCTGTTTTGGATGCAGAACTCAGAAGAAACTGTAACAGAGGTGCTCTGAATCTTTGGATCATCTGGGCCATCTGTTCCCATTGGAGATTTCTCAGGGAGGTCTTCCTTGCTAAAACCTTATTTTTCTTAACCCAGAATGAATCTACAGCCTTTCATTTCCTGTGGAAACAAAAGCAAAACCTCTTTTCCAAAATAACACATCTTTTGACTTAAATTTTGAAGTCAGGGCATTATCAAAGTATATAGGTTTGATTAACCTATTCCAAAGCCTATGGATTCCTTCCAGGCTATGGCTTGATCAAACCCCTTGATCAAGACCCCTTGAAGCATTGGCTCAGGTGATGGTTCCCTGAGCATTCAAGCAAGATATTGCCACAGATATTTATTAAAGGCATGTGTGTGTGTTTGTGTGTGTATATGTGTGTGTGTTTGTATTTAGGCTTGGTATTCAAGTTGATTCTTGAGACTGTAAGCTCTGATAGTCTAAGGAAAATGTCTTTTTGTGCTTTTAATAGTATCTTAAATGCTCAGTTCAATATTTGTCAAATAACAGGTTATCGGTGGTATTTATACTTGGAATGAAAAATATCCTCCTTAGGCTCATATACTTAAAATTTAGTTCCAAGCTGGTGGTACTGTTTGAGAAGGATATGGAGCCTCTGGGAGGTGGAAACTTGCCAGAGGAAGTGTATCTTTTGGGGTTTTATAGCCTGGTCCCATTTCCTGTTCTTAGTTTTCTTCCTTATTGCTAGTGACTTACTAGACTTTACTCCTGCCACCATGCCTTCCCTTCATGCTGACATACCTTGATGAAATGATCCCCTGAAACTGTTAGCCAGAATAAATAGACTTCTTCACTTAAGTACTATCTTCCCAGGTATTTGGTTATGGCAACAAGAAAGCAATCAACACAGAAAACTGGTACTGAAAAGTGGGGCTTTTGTTTTTATAAACCTAATCTTAGGCTTTAGAATTGGTCTTAGTTTCTACTGCTGTGATGAGACACCATGACCATGACAACTCTTATAAAGGAAACATGGGATGGAGAGATGGTTCAGCCATTAAAGGCTAGGCTCACAACCCAAAATATAAAGGAAACATTTCAGGTAGCTTGCTTACAGTTCAGAGGTTCAGTCCATTATCATCATGGTGGGGAGCATGGCAGCATGCAGGTAAATGTGGTGTTGAAGTAGCTGAGAGTCCTACATCTTGCATGTAAAACATCAAGTTCACTGAAACACTAGGAGGTATCCTGAGCATTGGAAATCTTGAAACCTGTTCCCACAGTGATACACTTCATTCAACAAAGTTGTACCTACTCCAACAAAGCCTCACCTGTATGAGATTATGAGGGCCAATTACATTTAAACTACCCCAAGGAGTGTGGAAAGATTTGGAACTTTGGGCAAGAAAATCCACAGAATTCTGTGAGAAAAGCTTAATGGGCTATTCTGATGGGAGTTCAGAAGATCAGAATGGTAAGTGGAATGCAGACAGTGGAGGACTGGGCTACTGAGGTTTCAGAGGGAAACAAAGACTTTGTCTAGAACTGGGCTTGCTATAATTACATTTGGGCAAAGAAACTTGGCAATATTCTTCTCATTGGGTGAGAGCTTGTGTGAAAATGAATTAAAAAAAGCAACAGAATAATTTCATTGGTAGAAGAAATTTCAGGATAACATAGTATTCATTCTGTGACATGGTTACTTATCACTGTGCTTATTTAGACTCACAGTGAGAGCAAAAAGGATGAAACACATAAAGTTTAGTAAGGAATGCTGTGTAAGCAAGTTTAAAATTGTTAACAAGGAGCTAAACATTCAGAGAACAGAGCATTTAGAGTTGTTAAAGAGTATCCTCACTGTCTTCAATAGAAAAAGTGCCTTAAAGGCAAGACCCCACCCATCAAATCAAGGCCCCAACTTGTAAAACTGCAAATTTATTTGAAAGGAGAAAGCAGCCTGGCTGAGACTGTCACATGGATTTTTTTTTTCTGGACACAATTTTGCCTATGAAATTGATATTTTAGATTCATCATTCACCTGGGCATTCACCAGGAAATTACAGCTATAATTCAAAATAGCATTTTGAGCTGCTTGCAGAACTTAGCAATGTAGTCTAAACTGTTCTGATATTGCTCGCATGAAAAGATTCAAGAGTGAGGGATCATAGACCCTTACTCCAAAGTTAGAGGGACCTGCTGAGACTAGTCAATGTGTGGCAGCATTAGCGTCTCTCCAAAGAGGGCCTGAAAGGCCCTTGCATGAAGCTGAAATTTTATCCAAGTCAGTTGCAATGAAGGCTTAGGAAGCAGGGGATGCGAGGACCACAGGACATCTTTCAAGGAAAAAGCCAAACATGGAATGGAGCCTGTGTAAGAGAGAGGCTATGTGTGTTATACATAATAGAGAGACTGGGCCAGGCAAAGCCTCTGGAGAACAAAAGAATCCATCATGAGTCCAGGATGCCTGATTGGGTGCTTCAGGATTAAATGTTTGCCCTGAAGGGTTTTGGTCTTCCTTTGGTCCAATATTTTTCCTTGATAAGTTT